TGGTTTATTAGCTTGCTGAGGTTTTCTGTGTATAAGTTCGTTATATGACCATCGCGGGAAAGTCAATGGATGCTTTTAATAGCTTCAGAGACTGCCATGTGCTGTTACTGATAATTGGAACAACATGCACAAACCAACAATATCGTTTTTATTTAAATCCTCGTCAGTCTTTACTCCAAGATACAGTAAAATTTACACGCATATAAAAAATTAATAAACTTTTTATTACTGTTACATTGTTGACACTTTCATCATCGTTGATCTGAGCATTAGGAAAAAAGAACTCTTAGTGCTTTTTAACAACAAAAGTTCTGCGATTACATTCGCATGTGAAGAGCAACTCGATCACAAACTACATCTCCTCAACGTTTTGTTGAACAGAAAAGAAAGTGGTTCTATCAGTAAAAATGTGTATAAGAAAAGTTCTTCAGCAAGCCAGTACACACATTTCATCAGCTGTGTATACATTCATTACAAGAGAAACCTAATCAGATGTCCTGCAAATAGAGCTTGAAAGATATGCTCAGACGACATTGTTAACAAGGAACTAGAGCTTATCCCTAAAATGTTGACTGAAATATGTTATTTACAAGGTTTTCTGTGGAAAAGTTTGCATGTAATAAACAGGAAAAGAACAAAGTCCACAGCTAGTAGGAAACCCATCTTCCTGAAGCTACAAATCAACGGTGATATGTCTGGTGATGTACTACAGGATAGACTAATCAGACCAGTGAAGAGAACGTTTGATGCAGCTAACCACTGTCCATCGTTCTCGATTCGACCTATGGTGATTCCACAACTAAGGTACAAGTTACATGGTTCTGCCACATTTATCTGTATCTACAAATTCAGCTGCTCCTGTGGAGACAGCTATATTGGGAGTACAACCAGACAATTGAGCCGACAAGGTGGTGAACACCTCCCTTAGGATAAAACAAAAATGACTGTACTCTGTTTGTGTGGAAGGAATGCTGAATCAACATTACCGAGGAAAAGAATTTTTTGCTTCTTCGTTTTATCGACTCACCAGCCTAAAATACCGGCAAAACAATACTGGCTTAACAATTTACATGTTAAACTATATATCACTGATAGTTAGCCATCCGGTTGATCACCATATAGGTCGCAAACGATTAGTTTGGATAAGTCAGCTGAATTTCATGGACTTGTAGTGACTCACATTTATCACGAGAACACAACTGGTTTAATAAAAACAATTATTATTATAACCAACTGTACCAGTGTTTGTTTTAATGTGCTTTTGTTTGACTGTGCTAATGACAGCTATTTTGTGCTTCCATTCATATACTTACACTTTGATTGTAACTTCGCGCGAATTCGGTTACGTTCTGTAACCAAACTTCTATCCTGGCACGATCTCGGTATCCTTTCGATGCCACGAGATCGCCAGCGAATATATCTCGATTTGGTCCATTAATTGCCTTCTGATATTTGGCTTCTCGGGGATCTTATGGATTTCTTTGGTTACGTTCAACCTACGCCTTCTGATTTATTTGGCACATGTTTCTTGGTAGCGGTGTTCATAGTTAACCTCAACTCGACACCACGCTACAGAGTGGACCGAGAAACAGCTTTTGCACTCTGTGTTTATCTGATCTTATCAATACAATTCTTAATAATATGACTTTATTCGATGTAGTCATCATAGTAGACATAGCATATGGATGTCATACAAGATTCGTACATGTTAAGTTTCGATAATAACAATTTATTCTCAGATGACAATATATTACGTGTTGCATGTCAGTTTAATGGTTATATCAATATGTTCACCGTAATAAGCTGCTCGTTTAGGCTGATATGATCAAAGACACAGTGGTCATTGAAACACGAATATAAATCTATTCATTTAAGACTCAAGTATTCATTCTAAAAGTTGTTTCTCATTAAGGAAGCTGCATTGTGACGAACAACTGGTGGTTGGAACTTAATCCAAGAAAAGTCTAGAGTTGTCCATATATGAATATGCGTTGAATGCCTAATCGGTAGATCAGAAACTTCAACCTCATTGTATTACTTGAGGCATCTTGATATTGTTGCCAGATAGCGAATTTAACAGGCTCCTAGTAGAGATAGTTATAAATCCTTCTGAAATATCGTAGGTATTAGAAAAGACGTAGGACGATTTTATCTGTTTAATTGATGCGTTTTGGGCGGTGCGTCTCGACGGTTCTGAAAAAAGAAAAGAACTGTTAGCAGAAAAGACAGGGTTGATGACTGGTGACTTAAAGTCATTTATGTTTTAAAAATAAAGGTATGACTACTAAGTTCAATTTCCTTATAGTTCACCAGTTGTTATACAAGTGGATAAGTTAAAGAAAGGCCAATGGTCGTACAGTTGTACCTTTCCCTTCCAACTCGAGTTGTAGCGCCAATGAAATGTCATCCGGTAGTTGGGTCACTGAATGTCAAAAAGATCATCAGTCCCTGTCAAAGTCAAGGACAGCCAAAAAGTAACAGTTAATCGTATGCCATGGACTGGTCCATGCGGTGGTGGTCTCACTGTCTTTTCTGTACTCTCTCTTACTAATATATTTCCTTAATAACTTACTTTGTGTTTTACGGTCTTCAAAGGATCCATAATACCTTGATACGACGAAGGAGTAATCCACGTTAGGTGCTGACTGCACGGCGTGACTTCTACGTTAGCTGTCAGTAACAACAGTCCCGTCTAACTCGAGTAGGCCACCAAGCATTCGACAGAGATCAACAACGTTAGTGATTTACAGAGTGGACCCAGAAAATTCAAACAGATCACCTGCACTGCAGTCTTCAATGTCTTTAATCTAGGATCTCAAAATCAGCTGAAACAGAAGTAAGGAATGAAGAGTTTCAAAGATATGTTTGACAGGTGTTCGGTGCATCAAAAAGTATACAACAAAACATAATACGGTGGTTTCTGAAAATAACTAACCCGTGGGCAACTGCTCCATGCCAAATTTCAGACACATCGCTGAAATAATGAAGTTCCATTTTCTCATTGGGTTCATAGATCCCCTTCTGAATTCTTCGAGACACCGCAACATAAACTAACTGACACACAACGTATTATTTAATAATAATCCGGGCCGAATCTCCAATGTAGTGTGGGAGGGCCTATGATAATCTTCAATTAACGAGCTAATAAAGCAGAAGACCAGACAGTGTATATAGAGTTTATTTTTCAACAATCACGGTAATGTGCGTATATAAAACTGAATAATTATGTCCGTTTCTTTACCATTGATACAGAGAAACAATTGATATTGGATATAGATGTGATTACATATAAGGTGTGACAAACAAATAAAAAATGTGATCTTTATTTTGTTGTCACAAAAATCATTGATTATAAATGTCGCAATAATTTTTATAAGTGGTATTATAACTTGTTGCCATATCCATAGAAGACTTTTTCTTATATACATCAGGCAAAAAGGCTTTTACTTCTTCCGAATCGGTTATCCATTTCTTAAATTCGAAAGCTCTTCTGTATATTAATTCATTTTATCGCATAACCAACTTCTTTGCCTATTCGCTGTTGGAAAAGAATATTGCTCAATCATCTACATCGGGGATTTTATGTTGTCTCATATATAACGAAGTCCGTAGAAAACGGCGATATAGTGGCCCTGAATTGATAGGAGGTCATTCCAAACTTGACCGAGTCATTTGGTGCACAACTCCCAAGCCGCCATAGAAATCCCGAAGTCCATGATCAGACTCGGACACGTTAACGTGCTTAACAACTCAACACCACGAAGAAGATTCTCACCATAAAGTCGTCAACTAGAATTGGTAGAATAATCCATTTAAATTCTGGATTACGTGTTGAAAAGTCTTAATCCAGAAAAACTACTTCGCTTTGATCGAAATGGGTACATAGGTTGTTCGGAAAATGTAGATAGCTATTAAAATAGCTGAAAAAATGAGGAGACAGCTTGGTGTTGCCAGACGTAAGAAGAACCTATTAATCATAAGCAGGATGACAAACAAAGAGCAGTCTGGATAACAACAGGATCGGAAGAATGATGAAGTGTGTTTAGGACAACTGATGGAAACTTTTTAAATAACGTATCTAATATATGCTTAACGTATTTTACATAAGTACTATGTAAATTTGAATGAAAGACAAATTGGTTTACCGTACCTGAGTTCTCCTTCATCATGATTAAGGTGTGCCTTAAAGCTTGTAGTGTTAGTCATTATTTTTAGCCCATAATATATCTTATTCTAGTTTCCGGACATTCCATTCTATTCATTCTACTTGAGTCATGTTTTGACCATGATAATTATTCGCTTATTAGCCTTGACTGTTTTCACATGAGCATATATGTGTGTACACTTCATGTCCCATGACTCATCACATGTCTGTAGTTTATTTTGTCTGCCTATAAATATTGAGTAATGCCCGGCTTGAAATGGAGTTGGCTTCCCAGCCATCTTCCCTGCGCGTCATTTCGTTTTGTTCTATCGCATTCACTTTACATACAAAATATATGTATTCAAATGCCATTCTCGTTAATTGACTTATTTAATTCCGTTATGGACTAACGCGATTTAAGTCGACTATTATATACGAGAATAGGTGATAGCAAACATTTATACGATCTAAAATGGAGTCAGATCAACGGGCCTCCACAAAAAGCTAACAGTCATCATTAATGTTAAACGTCTATTTTTAGGGAAGCTGTTACAAACACATTCACGGCCAGTCCAAGTAAACTAACATTACGTTGGAGGTACAATGCAGATTTCTGAATAATTTCTGTTGTTGTCTTCACTGTTTAGATAATTTTACGTAGTAATGTCTTTCGAAGAATACTGTTGATGCACTCTATTTTCGCCCACCTAGTAGTAGTTATCTTTATGATTTATCGTCAGTTCAAGTGACAGAATAATATGAAATTCCGTTACCGAAATGTAAAACATGAAGGAACATCTCACCAATTATTTGTTTATCTCAATTCTTTAGGATTGAAGGTCGGTGTTTCTTATGAATGATGGGGGTGCAAATCAAGCTTTGTGGAGATGCGAAGATTAATGGCTATACAGTTATCTTCGTTCATCAAGAAAACTCTCTTTGTATCACAGCCATTAAAAACGGCTTGTGGCATGCAGTAGGTTCGTTAATTATTTTTGATCTTGACCAGTGATAGTTGATTGTGTGAAACTTGATGAGTTTTGTGACCTCGTCAAGCAAACGCGTAACCAATATACACAGAATCTCTCAGAGTCTTTTAGTTCTTCCGACCCATCTAGCTACTTTAATTTAAGAGAAGAAGGGGTGAATTTAAATTTCGTATGGTCCAAAGAAATTAAGAAAGGCATTAAAGTATCAACGTACACTCTGAATGATATTCTAGATCATCTTCGGATCTTTTTACTTACAACCTTCATATAATCCATTAGAATCACTCTGCGAATTAACGAGTCTAATCACCAATAGCCTCAAAGAATCGATTTTATGCTGCAGTAATTTCGAGAGAGAAAACGAGAAGCTAAAGTCTTTGGCTGATATGTCCGTAAAGGTAAAAAGTATCATGTCTTAATGGTTTTCAGAAATATGAAGAAGTGGTTTCTCAGATAGATGACAAAGAAATTGTTCTGCTCTCGAAGTTTTCAGCTGTTCTGAATGAAAAGAAAAGAAAGTTAGAAAGCTATAAGTAGTAGACTCAATTCCTGTTTTTACACACTCGTCTGTAGATGTTCAACTTATGCTCCAAGTGAAGTTGACAAAACATCAGATAAATCGTCATTGCAAGAGGATTCGGATGATTTAATACCTTCCAAGAACCGCAGAAAATCAAAACCTGTCATTGGTCGTCGTAACTGATTGCTAAAGTAAGATTACCATTTACAAGCGTTACGTTCACTGGTTCACGACTCTCAAGATCAAGCAGCACTATTACAGTGTTTCAGTAATTGTGAGTGTAGTAGTATTGAGGTTCACCTTGAAGAACTTCAATGTATCCTCTGCAATTTCCTCCCAGTCAATAGGTTGTATTTACTTATTAACTGCCGCGCAAAGTTCTAGATGTATATTTTTAAATCATAATATGTCATTCAACACCAAGAAACTTGTTCCATGTGTTCGCTTTCCAGCTGTAACACACTTCTGGTGTTATGCTCTAAGAAAAAATGGTTCGTATTGGCAAGTTAATTTAAAAAAGCTAATAGAACATGTTATCTTTGCCAGGGTTTTCATTCAACTCCTTCACTTCAAGATATGTATGATATCTCTTGTCATGATAGCTCAGATATATCTTTGGGAGCCAAAGTTATCTTTTATTGACTTCCGTTTATCTCATTTGTCTTTTTCGATAATGCAATGAGAAGACGAAGTTTATCAGAAGACTGTCGCTCATTCTGGAGCACATGCTCTAGTACGAGTGCGTATCTGTCTGCGTCTTACTGGACGTGGGAAAGACGCTGTAAGTAAACCTCTTAGGGCCCTACTTAATGATAGTCAAGCTAAGACAATATTTCAGGAACAACTAGGAAAATAGTTAGGCAGTCATGTATGTGATGCCCACCCTGAGGCAGCATGGAATGACATCCGAAAAGCTGTGGAAACAGCAGTGATATCTGCTAGTAAGGTAAACCAGAAGGTTAAGGAGCAACACTGAATCTCAGCAGCATCTATCGCATTGATAGATGCTCGGAAACTCATTCCACCTGGCTCTGAATATAATGAAGAGCGGAGTCAGCTTAAGCACAAGCTGAAAAGAAGTCTACGCAATGATCGTGAACAGTGGTGGGTAGCGAAAGCAAGAGAGATGGAAAAGGCAGCGGCAATAGGTAATAGCAGACAATTGTTCAGACTCGTTAAGGAAACCGACTGTTAGCGAAACACTCTCAGAGAAAGATGGACATATTATGCATTCTCAATCCAGGAGATTGGATCGATGGGAAGAACACTTTAGGGGTCAGTTCAACTGGCCTTCAGCCACACTTCGGTTTTCCACGATCTCCAGTCAACCTGAATGGCTAGTTAATGTAGGTCCTCCGTCCCTTTACGAAGTTGAAAAAGCCATAGGAAATCTGAAACGAGGGAGAGCAGCAGGCCCTGACAGATTTACTCCTGAGATTTTTAAGGATGGTGGTCCAGTGTTGGCAGTGAGATTGACTGAGGTCTTAGGTAGAATTTGGGAACTGGACGTAATCCCATCTGACTGGTCTCAATCACTGATTGTGCCAGTCTATAAGAAAGGACAAACGTCCTCCTGTGACAATCACAGAGGAATCAGTTTGACTAATATAGTGTCTAAAATATTAGCTTCAATAACACTTCGACGCCTAACTAACGCTCGCGAAGAGCAGACTAGAGAAAATCGGGCTGGTTTTCGACCTGGACGTGGTTGTATAGATCAGATATTCACACTACGTCAGGTTCTAGAACACAGACACACATTCAGACGCCCCACAATGGTAGTATTTCTCGACCTTAAGGCGGCATTCGACTCTGTTGATCGTGAGGCTCTATGGCAGTGTTTGTCACTGAAAGGAGTACCAAAGAAGTACATTAACCTTATAAAGGCTCTCTACTCGAACACAACTGGTAGAGTGAGAGCTTATGGCGAACTGTCATCAGAATTGATTACCTCAAGTGGTGTTCGTCAGGGCTGTCCACTCTCCCCATTGTTGTTCAACTTTGTGGTCGACGTACTTTTAGAGATAACAGTTTCCTCATCTAAATTTACAGGGGTTGAACTTCTACCGGGAGGTTCACTTGTTGACTTAAAATGTGCTGATGACATAGTTCTATTTGGTGAAGACGCTGACAAAATGCAGTCTTCTGACTACTCTAAGCAACAATGCAAGCATGTTCGGGATGCGGTTCTCTCCCTCGAAATGCAAAATGTTGCTTCAGGATTGGGTTACATCGACACCCGAACTAGTGATAGGGAGTGAAGTAGTCGAGTGTGTCGACCGCTTCACTTATCTTGGAAGTCTCATCAGCCCTTGTGGTCTGGTGTGTGACGAAATCTCATCACGGATACAGAAGGCTCGACTAGCTTTTGCCAACTTGCGTCATTTATGGCATAGGCGAGATATCCGTCTATCAACCAAAGGACGTGTTTACTGCACAGCAGTTCGTTCCGTCCTTTATGGCAGTGAAACATGGCCGGTAAGAGTAGAAGATATTCGTAGGTTACTAGTATTCGATCATAGGTGTCTTCGAAACATTGCTCGTATATCTTGGGACCATCGAGTAAGTAACACAGTTGTTAGGAAACGGGTACTAGGTAAGGATGGCAAATCAATTGATGAAGTAGTGAAACTTCATCAGTTGAGGTGGCTGGGACACGTGTTACGTATGCCCAACGACCGACTGCCTCGACGTGCTATGTTCAGTGGTATAGGAGTAGGTTGGAAGAAAGCTAGGGGCGGCCAAACCAAAACGTGTCACAAGTCCATGAAGTCACTGACAAGTGGACTGAGTCATGTTGGTATGTGCAGACTACCTGGTTGGGGACCGCGAGATGATAGCAACCGATGGTTAGAGACCCTGAATGACATGGCTCAAAATCGTTTGCAATGGAGCAGGTGCATCCACTCTCTGTGTTCTCCCAAATTCTAATCTTCTGAATTCTTCATGTCCCTTTTTTCCTCTTTCCAAATCTATTCCACTGGATTATACTCCTTGAATAACATCTCCAAACCCTAATCTTGCCGATTACTGCTTATACTCTTATTACCTCTACCACTACGGGATTTGAATCGACAACTGAATCTCTGCTAATGTGGTGTGGCAACTCGAACTGATGTACGTACGTACAAAGTTCTACGTTGTTACTGACTGACTGACTAGCGACTACTCATTAAGATATTTTATATTAGCGCTTGGTAGTAATATTTCTTAACAGGGATGTCTAACTACTGATATCTCTACATTAGACATTTAGTGTGGTGAATTTATTGACAACTAACATTTGAGATCATTGAAGTGAACCTTATCAATAGTAACTTTCGTGATTTTCATTAAGCTTTTTAATAAATGTGACCTAATATTCTTATTTCTTCCTTGGAATTAGGATATTCCCTAAAACTTTTTGACTGATTAGCTCCGAGAATTCAGAAGACACAGCTTTGTTAGTATCCTTAACCACTAGTTACCTCGATGGATGATGTTGGGTAGTGAACGAGTAAGTTATAAGAAAGGCTGAGTGATTAATTCAAGACATGACATCAAGTCATTGACTATTGGAATAAGATGAGTGAGTAGGTAAATGCTAATTGGTTGGGATCTTTCTGATGATTGTAATCAATGGTTGGAGACGTTGGATGACATGTTTTGTAATCGGTAATAATGACATTGATAAACTTACTCTTTTTCTTCCCTTACTACCTGAGTTTTAAAATTACGTTATATCATTCTAGTCCGTGAATTGGCTTTTTCTTTTCGAATCACACTATTTAGTCTTTATTACTTATACTACTCTGACATTTGTACGTACGTACAAAGTTCTACGTTGTTACTGACTGACTGACTAGCGACTACTCATTAAGATATTTTATATTAGCGCTTGGTAGTAATATTTCTTAACAGGGATGTCTAACTACTGATATCTCTACATTAGACATTTAGTGTGGTGAATTTATTGACAACTAACATTTGAGATCATTGAAGTGAACCTTATCAATAGTAACTTTCGTGATTTTCATTAAGCTTTTTAATAAATGTGACCTAATATTCTTATTTCTTCCTTGGAATTAGGATATTCCCTAAAACTTTTTGACTGATTAGCTCCGAGAATTCAGAAGACACAGCTTTGTTAGTATCCTTAACCACTAGTTACCTCGATGGATGATGTTGGGTAGTGAACGAGTAAGTTATAAGAAAGGCTGAGTGATTAATTCAAGACATGACATCAAGTCATTGACTATTGGAATAAGATGAGTGAGTAGGTAAATGCTAATTGGTTGGGATCTTTCTGATGATTGTAATCAATGGTTGGAGACGTTGGATGACATGTTTTGTAATCGGTAATAATGACATTGATAAACTTACTCTTTTTCTTCCCTTACTACCTGAGTTTTAAAATTACGTTATATCATTCTAGTCCGTGAATTGGCTTTTTCTTTTCGAATCACACTATTTAGTCTTTATTACTTATACTACTCTGACATTTGTACGTACGTACAAAGTTCTACGTTGTTACTGACTGACTGACTAGCGACTACTCATTAAGATATTTTATATTAGCGCTTGGTAGTAATATTTCTTAACAGGGATGTCTAACTACTGATATCTCTACATTAGACATTTAGTGTCTATCTCTGTGCTAATGTGGTGTAGCAACTCGAACTGATGTACGTAGGTACGAAGTTCTACGTTGTTACTGGCTGACTGATCAGAATTATTTGATATATTTGCGTAATTCATTTCGAATAGTGTGATCACATATATACTTGTTAAGATATTTTTATGTAAAAACTAAAAGGTCAACTAGACCGATAAAAGGTTAGCCGTAACAAAGAAAAATAAAGTACACAAAAAATATGATAACCACTCTGAATAATAAATTAGTATTATCAGGGTAGTCTAAGAGTAAGAACAAATTGTTTGTAAATACCTAAAGGGAATTTCAGTTTCCATATAGCCAGGGCTTCAAGAAATCTTAGGATACGCCCTTGAAGGCTTTTGTACAATACTACAAATGCTTCTAGTACTATCTATTATGATTAAGGTGGGTGTCTTGATAATAAAAAAGTAGTGCCAGTGTACTCCCCTAATGTATGATGTATCTTAGCATATTTTGTGTCTCCAGTATGTTAGAAAGTGTTTTTTTAATATTTTTGTTTCCAAGCAGAATTATGGCATATCTGAGTCTAAAGGAAGTATGTACGTATGGTCGGCCATGTTATATGTAGATCTTCGTAATTTTCTGTGATTATTACATCGAGCTGCTGTATATCTTGCTGTCTATCAGTTTCGATCTATATAAATTAAACACTTCTGCAGTTTGTTTCATGTTTGCCAGTAAATAATTTTTATTTCTTATTTATAACCTGTTGTTTTGTCCATTCCACTAATA